TCGCTTCTACTGCACAAATATATGATATAATAATCGGATCTTAGGGGTTCTTGGCATGCAGGAAAACCCCTAGTTACTTACACTTTAAAGGGTGGAAAATGATACCTTTTCTAGATCCTTTTAGATACCCTTGCAGATCCATCGATTCCCAGAAAGAGATACTCGCTTCTACTGCACAAATATATGATATAATAATCCAATATTAAGGATGCTTAGCATGCAGGAAAACCCCTGATTTTTTACACTTTAAAGGGTGGAAAATGATACCTTTTCTACACGTTGCAAAACATTTCCTCAAAATCATAATACCCGTCTGGGTAAAGGTGAGCAACATACCTATGTCTTGTATAATGGGTTTTTTACATATTTTGGGGGTGGAAATGCTTAAAGAAGTGGGTGTTTCTAAGCCGCAAATAGGTCGTATGACTAAGACTTTTTACCTGTCCCCCATCTGTACGGTAGAGACCCCCACACAATCATCAGACCGTAGACGTATTTGATTTTGGAGAAATTTTTGAGAAAAATGAATCATGATTCAAAAATGTGTCGGCACAATGGTCTATGATTTGCACGAATCCAGCAAGTAGTACTTTGTTGGGGTGGTGGGAGGATTACTCTGTTTCCCTGTTTACTCTGAAGTCTAATACTAATTCGAGAAGATCATTGATTTCACAGAATAAAACCGAATGCAAACCACACCATTTCCGTTTCATTTTGGCATTGTATTTGGCGAAAACGGAAAACAAAAAAAAAACACAAACAAACATTTGCATAGAATAACTATTAAGGCACACAATATGTTCGCTGAAGATTTTTGGAATTGGGATTGGAATTTTTTCGGTCTCTCGGTCTAGCCGAAAATTTGCATTTTGACGATGAAAATGAAAAACTTGTTTCAGCTGGTTTGAATAATTATTTTTTGTTTAGAATATTGATTAAAATGTTGTTGCAAATGAAATTTAATTAAATGGATGTATATACAAAATGGAAAAGCTTTCAATTAAATTGTTTGGAAAATACTTTGACACAAAAAGTATGACTAAAACTAATGCAAACACTTCCAAATGGAATGGATACATTTTGGGTTTTATTTAAAGGTATCTCAAGATACTTTTTATACGCTATAAAGCTGTACTTTAACGGTTCGGCACATCTAGTGAATTCTTAAAATTATAACCATTAAATGGAATACTCTTAATGGTTTTTTATAGGGAAAAACTCAAAGTGAAAAAACGCAATTTCGGTTTTGACTTTAATGTATTTTAAGATACATTTTTAATGCGCTACAAGTGAAATTTAAAGGAATCCGGACATGAAAAAGCAATCATTCATTTATAAAATTAAAAACCGCTTTTTTAGCACTTGACACAAGGCATGCGTTCATGACCGCAGCACAAAAAAAAGAATACAAAATTAATTAATCAATTACAAAAAAAAAAATGCAGGCGTGAAAGTGTATTTTCCTGTGTTTTCTTTCTTCTTTTTACCCTCACGGCAGATTACTTTGCTTATTCCTGCCTCCGTCTCTGTCTCTCTTCTCCTGCGCCTTTCTCGCACTCACACACTCTTCATCTTGACCATATCTCTTTCTCTCATGACGAATTTAGCATGTGCCCGTCAGTCCGTGTCCATCCACCCACTCAGCAGCTGTTCAAAGAGTTAGTTCCGCTCTCCAAAAGATGGAGAGCGAGCGCCAGTGAGTGGAGGTGGTCTGTCTCTCTTTGGCTCTCGCATGTGTCATAATTTAAAAATACAAAAGCAAAAGCAAACAAGAAATGCAGAGTGGTTACGGAGGGGGGTGGGGGACTGAAGCTTTTGATACCCTAGCATCCATCGTTCCACATTTATGTTATGAAAAAACATTTAAGACTAGAGTTTGCCTCTGAGTTTTGGTTGCATTTTCTGCAAAATACAAGGATTTATAAAACATGTTCGGTTTTTTTCACCGATCGTTCCTATGGGAACTACGATATAGTGCATATTACTACATATAGATTGTAAATCGAAGTTGTTTTACATCAATTTTGCCATTAATATGAATATATTTTATATATATACATATACATATGTGTCGAATTTAAATTAAATATATTTCTTATTTAAATGGAATATATTCCCCATATATTTATATATTCCCCATATATTTAAAATAAAATATTTATTTTATTTAGATCAAATATAGATTAAAAACAAATTGAATTCTATTTAATTTGACTATTTTTGTTATTTATTTAGATCAAATATAGATTAAAAACAAATTGAATTCTATTTAATTTCACTATTTTTGTTATTTAAAAACCACATGTTTAATATAAATATAGGTGTGTTTCTTTTTACTAAAGCATTTTTCTTCCAGTGTAGTGATCCAATTTGTGCCCAAATTACTTTTAACTGCCTTATGTAAATACTTGTGCGACTGCAATAACTAACGACTGCTGAATACACATGTAAAAACGAGTATATTCTGCAGTAAACCTACTTTTTTCTAATGATCCTAACTGTATATACAGATCTACAAGTAAGTGTTCATACTAGATGAATATGGCTGTAGGTTTTGAAGGTTGTATTTCCTCCCCTATAGCGTTCCAAACATATGCTATAACCCATCATACCCTACCCTTTGGAAAAGTATAAGAAGAGGCCAAGCGCGAGCGAGAGTCTAGTGTGCTAACGGTACCAGCTGACAAATTCTCGACTGATTATGATTACCAGCAATCATTTCGTTTCGTTTTGCTTTTTTTGGGGTCTCTCTGGCGGAACTCTTTTTTTGAGGTGATTTACCATTTGGCTTCATTGCTTGCGATATATCCCACTTGAATATTGGCCATTTGTCTGAGACGTTTGCAGTTTTGGAGGCCAACAATCAAAGCCAAAAACGTTTTTATCCCCCACTTTTTGGTGTGTGTGTGTGCGTTCAATCATAATCGGCTGCCTTGTCTGTTTACTTTTTATTTATAACGCAACGCTTTTGTTGTATGTAATTTCATTGTGGCCAACACAATTTGAGTGTTTGAGAAATGAGGCAACAGAAATAGACAAAAGTCTGGCCATAAAAAGTCGACAAGACCACAAGAAACCCAAAGAGAGGGCGAGAGAGAGAGAGAGAGAGACAGCAGTTGTGGCTAAAGGGAATTGTTTGTTTAATTCATTTTGTTGCACAGAATTGTTTATTTAATTGGAAGAAGAATCAGAAGAAAAATCGCTTGGATCGATCATGGAAAAACCCCAAAGAACTCGAACATTTTCTGTCTGCTTCCGTTATTTCCCGAGCTGCAGGTCCTTTGAGGCCAGTGTTGCCAAATCAAATCGAACCGTTTTGGGGCCACCTGTACGAGTGTACGTTAGCAACTTCAAATAAACCGAAAATGTATAATTTTCGAAACATTTCACACTCTCACATTGGGTGTACAGACAGGGTGCTCTGTGCCCGGGTTCTGGTTGTGGTTCTGTGTATGTATATTCCAAAGAATCGGCCTGAACATTTCAAAAAAATAATCAAGCAAACAGCGGGCCACAGCGAAATTGGTGTGTGAAAAAAACGTACACACAAAAATAACTAAAAATGCTAAAAATAAAACTTATTTAAAGAAATGAAACCATGAAAAATCAAAAACACTGGCAAAAGCCAAAACGATGGCAAAATACAAAAATATAAATAATAAAAGCAGGCGAAGGAAGGCAAGAACAAGAGCCAGAGAGATGTGAGAGGGATGTGATGCGATGTGATGTGATGTGTGTGGGGGACCAGTCGTGCAACCGTGAAAAGTTCGCTTTTGGACTTTGCCTAATTTGCAGATGCTTTCGGGGGCAGTACTTTATATAAGGGCACGAACGAATACCGTGGAGGATACTGGGGATATTCCAACAGCAAAGAACGATACAATCCGATCCAAACCGATCCTGTAGGTGACAATCAAATCTCACAGTCTCATGTTTTCAAAACCATAAAAAGCACTTGGTACGTATACGTATAGGTGTACTGTGGGTACTGTGTATATTTGTATTTTTGTTATTTCGCTTTGACCACATTTGGCAACAGAACAGAACAGAACGAATCCGAATCCGAATCCGTGACAAGAGTGAACCGTGTTAAGCTTCAGCACACAGAGACACGGACACGGACACAGCCATAGGCACAGACACAGACACAGACACAATGCTTATGCTCATTCCAGCACACTCAGGCACTCAAGCACTCCACACTCCACACACTCTGGCAAACACTCTCATACACATCTCACTCACGCACTTGCAAGTCCGTGATTAATTGTCATTGCAAAACAATAAATTGTGTGGAAAAATTCATTCGGGATTTCTTACAATTGATTGTGGATTGTGGATTTCGGGTGGGTAGCAGTCGAACGCTCTATTTGGTTTTCCGATCTTCTGATTTCGGTTTCAATTTATTATTAGCGCGATTTTTCGCTGCCAATGTGCCGTAAGATGCGTGCAGCAAGACCGTTAGACCGACGACGACGGAGCAGAATTCGCGAATGGGGGAACTGGGGACCACTGGGCCCCACACAGCAACTGTTTCTCTCTTTTTCTCTCTCTCTCTCTCTCTCTGATCGCGAGAGAGTGCTAGCGATCCCCCCAAGCACAGAGTCCAATCAAAAAGTGAGAGGCAGTTGTATTTTATTTTGTTTTTTTTCTTTTCTTTCTGGCTTCTGCAGCAGCTGTTATACGCATACTCTCCGCATGTACTTCATGTGCGAGTACAACAAAGGAGGAGAAGGAAGGGGGGGAAAAAAGCGAAACTGAAGTACAAAATCAAAAACGGCAATGAATTTCACGTTCCGCGCGAGACGATCGCAATCGATGTGTAGTATGCGTCATACTAGCCCGAGAGCTTTTTCCCATACCGAAGCTTTTACCCAAAAAGCTGGCGAAGCAAAACCGAAAACCGGTATTCTCATACCCTTGAATGGGAATCATTCGCTTAGTTGAGTGAATGATTTGGTTATTTGTTTATTTTCTAAACTTTAAACCAATTTATCAGCTTAATTGTGATGTTTTCTTACAGTTTAAATGTGTATTTGCTTAATTCTAAACCAAATTATTTGGTTCTTTAAGCATTCCTTATGGAAATTGTATACAAAATAGTCCTTAGGTAAGTAGAAATGCCTCTTAGGAAAGCCCATAAATTCTACTGACTGATTATATCTAGCATTAGATGTTAATCCCCCTGGTAGATATTTACAGCTGCTCCATGAATCCAATCAGTCAGTAGAATATCTAAAGGGTATAATAAACTTCGCCTAGACTCTAGATATACGTTTCATGTTGTGTGTGGCTGGTGGCTGTCTGAGACACTTCTACCGCCTGCTCCTGCTCCTGCTTCGTCTGCTGGTCCTGCTTCTCCTCATCCGCAGGCAGTTCAATGTTCACCGCTTTCAAGGCCTGCCGTATCCATGTGGGAATCGGATCCTTGCCAAAATGTCTACCCATAAAGTCACTCACAAATTGCGGGAACTCGTCGCGTTCAATGGCTTCTCGCATGCCCCGCATCAGACGCAGCTGATAGGCCACATTGTGGATGCTGAGCAGGGAGCAGGAGACGCTCTCATTGGTGGCAATGTGGTGGAGGTACGAACGGGTATAGCGCTTGCAAGTGCTGCACTCGCACTCCTTGTCAATGGGCTCCAGGTCGAGCTTGTATTTGGGCTGCTTAAGATTCAGCTGTCCCTTGTCGACCAAGGCACATCCGAATCGTGCCGTACGCGTGGGAAAGACACAATCGAACATATCGATGCCCAAGGCCACGCAGACCACAAGATCGGCGGCAAACCCCACACCCATGAGGTATCGCGGTTTATCTCGTGGCAGATGGTCCGTGCAGACATCAACCATGCGCCAGAAGTCGTGTTTGCTCTCGCCGCCACTCAGTCCACCGACGGCAAAGCCGCGAACTTGCCGCTCCATCAGGGCGGAGACGCAACGTTGCCGCAATGGCACATCGAGTCCGCCTTGAACAATGGGAAACAGCGATTGATCGTCGTCCCGAGCATGGGCCTCGATGCAGCGATCCACCCAGCGTATTGTCCGCTCCATGGCCTCCTCCACACGTGGCCCGATTGTGGTCGTCTTTACCACATCATCCAGCTGCATCATTATGTCCGCCCCAATGGCATTTTGGATCTGTATCGAGTGCTCTGGGGTCAGCATGCACTCGCTGTTGTCGAAGGGTGAGCGAAAGTTCACGCCCTTCTCATTAATCTCGGCCAGCTGCAGCAGGGACACCATCTGGAAGCCACCAGAGTCCGTCAGTATAGCTCGAGGCCAGCCCATAAACTTGTGCAAGCCGCCAGCTAACCGTAAAGTCTCAATGCCCGGCCGTAGTCCCAGGTGATATGTGTTGCCCAGCAGGATTTGGCAGTTCAACTCAATCAGCTGATCCGGCAGAATGCCCTTCAATGTTCCCTGCGTGCCCACCGGCATAAATACTGGCGTGTTTACCTCACTGTGCCTGGGAAACGAAACCATTCATTGCGTGATCGTCTGCACTTCGAGTACTCACCTCAGTGTCATCAGGCCCGCCCTGGCCTTGGATACGGAGCACTCCGCCACGACCTTATAAGTCAGGGGAGGGATAGTTCTTGTACTCATCTAGTTATCAAACGGCAAAACAAAATAAATTAAATAAATACACTTTGCCGGTACACGTTTTCTTTGAGAATTAGTGTGCCCGCACTCCACTAACGATAAGATGCCAGCAAAAGGTACCAAATTCGATTTTCTCTAGTATTTTAACACTGGCGCGCGTTTGCTATCGGTTTTGGCATAGACGAATGACGCAGGAATGGCATTCACACTGTTGCACCATGACATCATAACTGATTTGAGTTTTTGACGAGGAAGGCAACCAAATTTTAGAGATAGTGTTAGGGAATTATGGAAAAGCACCATTTGCTGATATTTATTTATTATTTTCAGCCATTTTTCTCACACAATGATCAAATAAACCATCAATGTTCCGCTTCCATGTATCCAGTAGGATCTGTACGGCACCATTGTTTAAAGAATTTTTTTTAAGGAAACTGCTTATACGAAAAAATGCAGACGCATGACGCAGACGTAGTGTAAACCGGCCATTATTTAATAAAATAATGAAAATGTAAAACAATCAAATCTGTAATCTTAAGAGTCCAATGAAATGCTTGCTTTATTTAAGACATATGTATTGTACCTATCTATTGAACAGTTGCTAACTTGGGAAATAATTCTAAGTGAGCACAATTGGTTGAGGATGCACAGTTGAGGTAACCATGGCCCGAATACTTCAATATTCAAGCGGAATTATAATATGTATAGGTAACTACTACGGGGCAAGCCGCCTTACTTCGCTCGAGCGCCAATCCCTGGCTCACTCGCACCACCCATTTGTTCACGCACACATCATAAATAAGTATAATATCGGGATACGACGACGAACTTTGGTTCGTATAAAATGTACAGATAATAAAGAAGCTTCAGGCGTTTTCATAGCGCTGCTTCATCATTTTCTTAATATAAGATTTGTAATCGTTTCCAGGTGGCATATTGCCAGCTTTGTTTCCCAGGCCCACATTGTTGGTGCGACCATCAGCCTGTGGATTCAACAAATTATATATTTTAATTATCTAATGCAATATTTATGCTTAAATAAAAGTACCTCAATGATCTGGGTGCGCCCCTGATTCTTCCTGCCCAGACCCTGGCCCTCCGTCCAGCCCATCTTCTGCATCAAGCGGTTGCCCACGTTATTCGAGCTAATTGGCAGAGCTGAAGCCGCGCTGGCATTATTCTTCTGACGCGTCTGCAAGGTCTTTATCTCCTGCTCGAAACGCTCCCGACTGCGATTCGGAGGCGGTGGATCGCTCTCCCCGTACTTCAGTCTCCTCTCCTTGGCGCGGTCCCGATAGCTAAGATGTCCAGAAGGATGCACGAATTTACGAAATATCCCTCCAAAAATAAAGCTTTTACTTACGATAAGCCCGCGTCGCTGTCCGGATCGGGGTCGGCGTCAGCAGACGCTCCTGAACCTTGATTGAGCTTGGCCAGATTTTCTTTGTGCAAGTTCGACATTTTCAAATGCTTCTGCAGGATTTCGAGGGATTGGAAGGCACGTTTACATAACAGACAGGTCAGTTTCTGTAAGTCCACGAAGTCCATTTCATCAGCAACGGCACTAGATCCACCAACAGCCGCCGCTGGGGGCCCCGCAGTGTCTTCATCCGATTCAGAGCCACCGCCATAAGCTTTGAACAGCTTATTCACCCCCAGTGGAGCCGCGGGCGGCATAAAGTCAGTCAGCTTAGCTCGCTCCTTCTTCTCCAGTATGGAGAAACCCACATCTGCATAAGACCCCTGTGTGGAACGCGAGGTGCTAGGCCCCGACATCTCGCTTCCTGTCAAAATGGGATGGGGAGTGGCCACCACGGTATAGTCCTTCTTCTGGTTTAGCTGCTTGGCCCACTTCTCCATATCTTTGACGATCTTCTTGGCCACCTTGACCTTGTCGTGCTTGTTGTTACCGTCCTTCTCCTTGTCCTTTTCCTTGTCCTTTTTGGAATCGTCGTCCTTCTGCTCGGCCTCTGCCAGTACCTCTTGCAGTGCCGCCTGGGTGGAGGCAGGAGTCGCCAGAATGTAGGTGCTGCGCCGCTGATCCCAGTACAGATAGGCTCCCGTTTCGTTGTTGTAGTAGTACTGGGAGTGGGCGTCGTAATAGAGACCCGTGCTCGGGTCGAAGTAGTACCCAGAGGTCTCATCGTACTGGTAGCGAGAAACATCGGGGGCGGCTGCAAGGGAGAGTGGTAAATGGAGCTTGAGTCGTTACTGCATTCACTTACGATAAGTCTTGCCATCGTTTCCCCTTGGGGCGACAACATTCTGAGTGGCAAATGTGGCCTTTATCTCGGCAGCTGCTTGGGCAGCGGCTATAGCGGCCGCTGTGGCCGTTGTCTCAATGTTGCTCATCTTCTTTTGCTTTCGTTGGATGGCCGAGAGAGCCACGGCAGCCCCGGAATTGGCCTCCGTCAGCTGAGGGTCTGAGGGGCCACTCTTGGCTATCTCTGCCGTGTAGTAGTCCGTGTAGTACTGAACATAGTGCGCCTGCTCCTCTGGATTAGAGGCATACAACGAGGCACTGTACTCGGCGAGCCGGGGAACGTCGGCGAGAGTATAGCTTCCACCAGCCCCTGAGGGAGCCACAGCTGCAATTGACCCGTTTGGAATACCTCCGCTGGCCACACTTGTAGAAGTGGCAGCTGGCGAATCATTTGGTATTTTCGGCCGATCATCAACGTCGACGCAGTAACTGATGGCAACTGAAGCGGAAACGGAAGATGTTTGAGAATTGCATAGAGTGCAAGACGACGACACTTACCTTCACGGTCATCTAGTGTCAGAGGTGGATCCAGCGCGGTCAAGGCATTGTGCAGCTCCATCGAGTCAACAAGCGTGTCAAAGTGCAGATAACAGATGCCTCGCGATGCCTGCGTTAGGGTATCACGGCTGATCAGCACTTTGCTGACAGATTTGGCCAGTTTGGGCTGGAGCTGCTGCAGGGCAGTCAGCACGCCCTCCTCATTGGTCAAGGCGTCCAGATTGCGTAACATAATCTCTGTCAAAGTGCATGGGTAAGCATGGCAGGTTAATGAGTGTGTTTCTCTGTCTGAACAAAATGGCATTGCATGAGATTGTTTTTGGTTTGTATACTTTTTGTGAGGATTCGGCTGACTTCATCGATCCCCTCTCCAGCACCAGAGAGTACATTCTCGCTTTCCTCGCGGGAGACATTGCACATGAAGCACTGGAGGCGCCGCTTAAAATTGGTGGCACCACACTAAAAAACAAAAACGAAGGAAACCATTTTAGCTGCATGATCTCAGCAGGAAGTTAAAGTCAGGCCGTACCTTGACACAAGTCCAGTCTGAGATGCGCGTGTTGCGTGTATACTGCATGGACACCCGGTGATCGCCCAACTGGAGAGTGCCCTAAAGCAGAGAAGGAAGACAACGAAATGATTGCGAATTAGCGACTGGAATGATTGGATTATAAGTTTCACAGGCTACACAGTCACCAGGTTGCTTCTGTTCTGTGTTTTGCGGCGGATGTAGTCGCTGGCAGTTTGCTCCTTCTGAATACCGCTATAAGTGTGAAATGGTTACTTTAAGTTCAGTTCTCGCTCTAAACCATCCGAATTTGGACTTGACTTGACATAAAGAAACAGATGAAATGAGGAGATGCTCAACGCTTATTGCTTAATGCTTAATGCTCAACTGAAAAGGGCGACAAGGAGAACTGAACTAAAAGTGAAGATTTCGTTATAGTTGAGGCCGAGTTTTGATTTGTGCCGATCTCGTGGCTGAATCAGGAAGAGTCTTGTTGGTTGTTGTGATACCTTAGTTATTTCCATCCATTGTCTCGATTCCTCGACGGTTTTAAACTCGACAAATGCGAAACAGCGTGAGGCACCTAAATTTTAGATAGAAGCAGATACGAAAATGTTTTTGTCAAAATATGTTGTTGGTTGTTTCAATAGTTCTGTAACATTTTTTGGGGATTGCTTTTGGTTTATGTGGAATTTTGTAGATGTTTGTCGTAAGCCAACTATTAAATGAATTGTATTTCCTGTTGACAACATTGCTGGGCACTGGGCACTGGGCACTCAATACTCACGCTCTTCGTGTGGTTTTAGACTAGCCTAATTGTATGTATAAATAGTAAATTCGTCGAATTTGTAACCCACCTGTAGGCTGCTTCCTCATCACTCGTATAGAAGTGGGCTCCATATTCACTTTGATGAGCTCGCCCATGATCTGCAAGGGTTAGCGTTACGTTACAGATCGATATTTTTCCCAGTAGAACCTTATTCTTACGTCTGCCTCGGTAACATGCTTCTGAAGCCCGAAGAGTATGATATTGTTCTGGGCTTCGTTGCAGGTCCTGTGATGCTTGCGGCGATACTGGCTCTCGTCGGTCGCATCGTTGTCGCTATCGTCGTCGGAGGAGTAGCGTCTCTCGCGGTCCCGTTCCCTGTCGCGATCCCTGTTGTTATTCAGCTGGGCGTTGTTGCTCCCATTGTTTCCATTATTATGATGCCGATAGTCAGCGCCCCGACTGAAACGATGGATCCAAGTGTTCAGTTACAGCAAAAATTTGTGCTATCACAGAATGCAAGTCTTACTTGTTGCGCTCATTGCCCCGATCATAGTCGGAGTTGCGTTCCCGCGACTGGCGCTCATAGTTCTTCCACCGCTGATCGCGATTGTTATCATAGTTATCCTCGCGCCGGTCGTAGTTGTCCTCGCTTCGATGCTGACGATTATCAGAGTTATTGCGCGAGTTGTAGTTTCGCTCCTCTTGGTAGTCGTCGTCGATCAGGTCGCGGTAGAGATCCTTGTCCTGACTGCCGCCGGAATGTCTATTGTAATGCGAGGAACGCTCTCGACTCCGCGAACGCGAATTGTGGCGTCTATACCCACCGTGCTCTCGGTTCCGTTCGCTGCAAGAACATATTTCATACTCGTATGAAAGCATACACGTAACGAGGGTATCTTACCGGGAACGTGAACGGGAGCGACTATAGCGTCTATATTGACCTGCACCATGGTTTCCACCGACAACGCCGCCGCCGCCACCGCCATTGCCATTGCCATTT